TTTTTTTTTATTGTCATTGTAAATATATCTATCACACAACTTTTGCCAATTCAACTTTTTACAGATGTACAATTTATCAATAGCTCTTGTAATAATCACTGTGCAACTTTTGAGAGGAAGTTCATAGATCGAAGCGTCCTTCTTGTCAGGGAATCAGGACAACCACATGACCTATTACTGGTGATATTAACCTTGACCTCCTGGTTAAATTGTTGTTATTGTTAGGTGTCATCGAGTCAGCTCTGACTTACAGTGACCCTGTGTACAACAACAACGCACTGCCTGGTCCCGCCCCGTCCTCGCGAGCCCTGCCCTGCTTCCGCCCATCATTGCAGCTAGTGTGTCATTCCATCTGTTGGGGGCCTTCCCCTTTGTCGCTGATCCTCTGCCTTATCAAGCATGGTATCCTTCTCCAGGGAATGGTCCCTTCTGACAGCATGACCAAAGTAGGTGAGATGGAGTCTGGCCATTCTTGTTGCCAGGGAGCATTCCAGCTACACTTCTTCCAGGACAGATTTATTTGTTCTTCGGGCAGTCCATGGTATTTTCAGTATTCTTTGCTACACCACAACTCAAAGGCATCAACTCTTCTTCTGTCTTGCTTATTTGTTGTCTAGCTTTCATATGCTTATGAGGTGATTGAAAATACCATGGCTTGAGTCAGGCACACCTTAATCTTCAAAGTGACACCTTTGCTTCTTAACACTTTAAAGAGGTCCTTTGCAGCAGATTTTCCTGATGCAATACCGTGTCTGACTTCCTGACTGCTGCGTCCTTGGGTGTTTACTGTGGAGCCAAGTATGATGAAATCCTTGACAACATCAATCTTTTCTCCATTTATCGTGATGTTGCTTATTGGTCCAGTTGTGAGGATTTTTGTTTTATGATGTGTAATCCATACTGCAGACTATAGTCTTTGATCTTTGTTAGTAAGTGCTTCCAGTCCTCTTCACTTTTAGCAAGCCACGTTGTGTCATCACAGGTTGCTAATGGTTCTTCCTCCAATCCTGATGCCACGGCCTTTTCACGTAGTCCAGCTTCTCAGACTATTTGCTCAGCGTGGAAATTGAATAAGTATGGTGGACAGGTACAACCCTGATGCACACCTTGATTTTAAACCGGGCAGTATGCCCTTGGTTAAGTGGTGTCTGCTAAATTTCCTCTTGCCTACTGTGTTCCTTAAGGTGCTTTGGTGGCCCGGTGGTTAAGCTATTCAGCTGCTAGCCAAAAAGTCGGCAGTTCAAACCCACCAGCCACTCCACAGGAGAAAGATGAGGCAGTCTGATTCTGTAAAGATGTATAGCCTTGGAAACCACATGGGGTAGTTCTACTCTGTCCTTCCGGGGTTGCTGTGAATTGGAATTGACTCAACGGCAATGAATCTGGCCTGGGGCTGTGTCCCTTAGGAGCAAGTCCCTGCGTCCAGTGCACACTCAAGGACAATTAAACTTCACCTCCTGGGGGAAAAATGTCAGAGAATGTGTGGTTGTATCTTAAATCCACCACAGTAATCAATACATATTGGGGCGAGATACTTTGAAGCTATGCAGATACCTGTTTTCTCTCAAAGTTTCACTCAGTGGTGTTAGCCTCCACGGGAGGACCCTGCCTGCAGCAGGTACTCGGGTTGTGTGCAGGTACAGACTTCCTGTTTCCACCACTCTTTCCACTTTAGTCATCTTTTCTTTTACTTTTTAAGCATTTCCTTATTTTTTTGGCACTAAAATTTGCTTAAAACTCATCTTGCGCTTTCCCTGCCCCGTCCTAGAATCAGCCATTTTTCCAGAAACCTAGCTTCTTTTATTGGAGAATAATGGTTTTAGAAACCGAGGTCTAGCCGCTGGTGTGCTCATTCCTACTGAGGTGTTACTGCTTTCAGGCCCTCCCCACTGGACAGAACTGGGAGATACAGGCAGTCCCTAACTTATGATATTTGATATTTGAGTTATGCGAACTGTACTGAAAACTGTCTCTTTTTTTTCACATCTTATTATTAGCAATCAGGAGCTCTGATGGCACAGTGCCTAAGGCATCTGACTGCTAACCAGAAGGTTAGTGGTTCTAACCCACCAGCTGCTCCGTGGAAGGAAGACAGGGCAATCTACTTCTGTAAAGATCTACCTCCTTGGAAACCCAATGGTGGTCCCTATGAGTCAGAATTGACTCTATGGCAGTGGGTCAGTGTTGTAGCACACAGTTTGCTGTTATCATTCTCAGATGTTCACTCACAGATGTTCAATGTTATGATTCATAAAGATACTGATACTAAAAGGCAATAATAATGAAAGCTTACAAAAAATCTAAGTATTCAACTTACATCAGAACCAACTTATGACGGAATCGTTGGAATGGAACCCCTTCATAAGTCGAGGACTGCCTGTATATGTGTATATACTAACCCACGCTTATGTATTCATCCGTATTGTTTCTATATCTCTGTGTGTATGTGTGGTGTGTATATATATATATATATATATGTATATGTATGTATGTATATATATATATGTATGTATTTAAAGAAACATGAAACCACACTGATGTCTCCAACTTTAATTCAGCACCACAGGGCTCATTCTTACTTCCCACCTTGCTCCTTCTTTGACTGGGAGATGCTGGTCTCCAATTACCCACTGTTTATTATTTGTTCGATCCTAATATACTTGTATAGTGAAAGAATATAAATAACCCTGACACACTCATTTCCTGATTTTAAACCACGCAGGATCCCCATGTTCTGTTCAAATGACTGCCTCTTGGCCTGTGTACAGGTTCCTTTTCAGCACAATTAAGTGTTCTGGAATTCCCATTCTTCCCAATGTTACCCGTAATTTATTATGATCCACACAGTCAAATGCCTTTGTATAGTCAATAAAACACAGGTTAGCATCTTTCCGATCTTCTTTGCTTTCAGCCAAGACCCACCTGACATCAACAATGACAGCCCTTGTTCCACATCCTCTCCTGAAATCAGCTTGAATTTCTGGTAGTTCCCTGTCAACGTACTGCTGAATTATCTTTAGCAAAATTTTACTTGCATGTGATATTAATGGTATTGTTTGATAATTTTGGCCGTCTGTGGGGTCACCTTTCTTTGGAATGGGCACACATATGAATGTCTTCCAGTCAGTTGGCCAGGTAGCTGTCTTCTAAATTTCTTGGCATAGTCTTCACAGGATGATGTACATCTCAACATAAAGAAAACAAAAATCCTCATAACTGGGCCAAGAAGCAGCATCGTGATAAATGGAGCAAAGATTGAAGTTGTCAAGGATTTCATTTCACACAGATCCTTGCAATGCCCACGGAAGCAGCAGTCAGGGAAACAAATGGGCAAATGTGCCGCAAAAGAGTAAAGAGTAAAGATGCCACTTTGAAGACTGCGGTGCACCTGCGCCGAGCCATTGTATTTGCAGTAGCCTCATGTGCATGTGAAAGCTGGTCAATCAATGAGGAAGGCCAAAGAAGAATTGATGCATTTGAATTGTGATGTTGGTGAAAAATATTGACTGTGCTGTGGACTGCCAGAAGAATGAACCAATCTGTCTTGGAAGTACAGTTGGAATGCTTCTCAGAAGTGAGAATGGCCAGACGTACTTTGGTCACGTTGTCAGAAGGGACCATTCCTTAGAGAAGGTTCTCATGCTTGGTAAATTGGAGGGGCAGTAAAAAAGGGAAAGCCCCTCAATGAGACAGCTTGACACATTGGCCACAATGATGGCCTCAAGCATAGCAATGATTGTAGAATGGTGCAGGACCAGGCAGTATTTCATCTGTTGTATATAGGGTTGCTCTGTGTCAGAACCAACGCAGCAGCACCTACCAACAACAACATACTCATAAAGAGGCTTCAGCATTGCTAACCCGTAGGCAATCCTACTTCCGTAGTGATACTGCCTCGGAAACCCAAGGAGGGGTCGCTATGAGTCGGGGCCAACTCAACGGCAAATAACAACAAGAACAACAACAACAACCCCTGAGAAACACATTTACCGACTAGAGTACTGTGTTGCGTATAGTCATTGCTACCTTTGATCTGGGAGTATCTAGTCAGAACATTTTTCCCGAATTACGTAATTCAGCTCCACCCCGCCTCCTTCAGTGCAGTGTGCCCTACATTAAGACAGTTGGACATGTTTGTCCCAATCTGCATTCCATCCTGGGATCTTGACATCCTGATTGGTTTCATTTTTGTTTTTATTAACATACAGTCACGTTCACGCCGTATGATTTGACAAATCGGGTGTCCATCACCCTATTCCAGGCCAAGCAGTCCATCACCATTATTGTTCCCTGTGTGGCCCCTTTAGAGGCAACCACTCCCTATAATTTTGCCTTTTCTAGAATGCCATATGGGTGGAATGGCATGGTATGTGGTCTTTGGGATCTGGCTTTTTTCACTGAACACAATGCATTTAAGATTCATCCAGTTTGCTGCCTTTGTCACGGCCTATTCCTGTGCATTGCTGAGGGGCACTTGGCTGTGCAGAGGTACCACAGTGCACTGCCGCCCATTTGCCCATAGAGAAGACACCTGTGTCATGCCCAGTGTCTGGGGATGATGGATAGATCTGCTCTAAACATTCATGGACAGGTGTTTGTATGGACATAGGTTTCCTGTTCACTTGGGAAAGACCTGCCAGTGGGAATGTGAGGTTGGAAAAGTTAATTCACAAAGAGAGAGGGGGAAGTGCAGCGTCAGCAGCAGGAGAATGGCTGGAAGGCCCATGAGATTCAGGTCCCAGGGGGTGTACTTCACCCGCCATGCACTCCTCTGACCCCTGGGAGCACATCCGGGCATTGGAAGTACTTGCACACAGACTCTAATAGTTAGCACTGGGCCAGGGTTATCAGCCTACCAGAACTGATGCAATGCACACAGAAAGCCTGCCTTCCACCTTGGGTTCCGGGAGGTGGTGGCTGGCAGGGGCAAGCTGATGTTTGTCTGCACGGGGTGCACGAAATGTCACTGGGGAGCCTCACAGCCTTTCTTGCCTTGGAAGCCAGGGCCGGGACCAGCGGCTGTGCCTGTGGGACCTGGCAGAGGGCCGGAACGCTATTGTGGACTCTGTGCACCTCAAGAGCGTAGGCTTCTGCAGGAGCACCGTGCTGGCCAGGGCTCCGCCACGCTGGATGCTGGCCATGCCTGGGGGAGGCAACGACGAGGTAAGAACCCTGCCTGTCCCAGAAGTCCCTGGATGCTCCACTCCCCTGAAACAAGTGGGTTCCCCATTAGCATCTGGATTGGCGGTACAACTGTCCCACTCTGTAGGACCCAATGGAGCTGTCATGGGGGTCTGCTGCCTGGTGGCAATTACAGCTTCCTTGGGTGGTGCAGTGCTTAAGTCATTTGACTGCTAATCAGAAGGTTGGAGGTTCAAACCCACCAGCTACTCCATGGAAGGAAGATGGGGCAATCTACTTCTGTAAAGATTTACCACTTCAGAAACCCAACGGGGATTGCTATGAGTTGGAATCAACTCAATGGCAGTGTGTTTGGTTTGGTTTGGGGTCAATGCCCACCTTGCTAAACCTAGGTCCCTCATCACTTGCGAAGTACCCCTGGTGATAAGCCTTTCTCTTTGAGTGGTGGTAAGGGTCAGGAAAGTGGTCTAAGGGTGCTTCAACAGGGGCACTTCTCTAACATCCCTTTCTCCCACCACTGTGCCTGGTAGCAGAGTGGGCTGGTGTCTCTGGGAGGCTCTGCCCACACCATGCTGCCCTGCAGGACGGTGGGCCAGGGTGGACCCACAGTGTCAGGCTCAGTGCCACCAAGGCAGCTTGGAGGGAGACAGGACTGAGAAACGTGTGCACACATGAAGGGAAGTTCTGGAGGACGCTTGGCAGGAGGAGGTGGTGGGTAGAGATGGAGCCCTTCCCAAGATTGGGACGGGCCTCTAAGCAAGGACAGCAAGAGGGAGCCATGTTTCAGGGAAGAAGGACTGGCACCCCAGGCAGGGCCTGGGGAGGGGCCTGGAGGTGGTGGGGACGTGGGGATGAGGGCTGGCACCTGGGTGGCGGTTGTGGTGCAGAACAGAAGAGGTGAGCAGGGGACCTGCAGAGTCTGGGGTGTGAGAGGTCAGGATACAGGATGCTGCCCACCACCATGCTAAGCAGAAAGGGTCAGCAGCAGAGGCCAGTGATGTGGACGAGTGAGATTCAGGGGCAGCGGAAGCAGAGCCAGTGGGCGCCGAGACACGGGTGCAGCCTGGGACTGGAAGCAAGAGGGGACGGGGTTGCTTACAGAGCGGGAGGCCGAGGCTGGAGCGCCGGCTCTTGTGAGCAGAAGGGCAAGGAGAAGCAGTGACCAGAGACGCACATGGGGCAGTGGCTGTGAGATCAGGAGGAGCAGAGAGGCACGTGGGAAGAACAGCGTTGCTCTAAGCGTGGGCGACAGGGCAGCGAAGGAAGCATGTGTACAGGGAGGGGCCGCATCTCGCACCTGCCGCCCTTCCTGTGTTCTGGGGCCTGGTCTGCAGTCCCACTGGCACCATCGAGCCTTTTAAGTAGAGACTCTGGGCAGGACAGCACCCACTTGGAGCTGACGCTGACGAGGTTCTCCGTGCACACGGTTATGTTGGCCCCTGCCCAAGAGGAGTTATTTTGTCTTAAAGCAGATTCCGTTCATAAATAATGAGATGCGAACAGGCATTTATTTGTTCCCGACTGCGTTTAAATCCCCAATTAGGAGCTACATGCACTTTTCTTGCCAATTTGCCAAAAACCTGTTACAAGTTTTATTAATGTGAAGTAGAAGGGTGTGTCCCTCCTGGATGGCTCGCGCCACCTAGGCACCCAAGTAATCGTGGGCAGCGACCAGCCCCCTCCTGTCCGCAGGCCCAAGTAAGCACGCTGTGTATGCTCAGGAGTTACCAAGTCAGATCAAGGAAATGGTTCTTCCTTCTGAGGTGTGGGGCTCCATGCCATCTTCCACACTGCCGCACCTCCATCGCAACCACCTCCAGACAGTGAGGTTGGTTGGCAGCCCAGGATAGACACTGCCACCTTCCCAGGCCTGGTGGGCTTGACGCCACACATACAGTGTGGGTCCGCCTTGGCTTCCCTTGGCCAGTGCTGCATGCAGGCCCGCCTTCCTCCGGCCCCTGACCGGCAGCCCTGAGGTGCGGGCAGGATCACTGGTTTTCAGGCAGAGGGGCTGGGACCTGGCACATCCTGGGAGATGGTCGTTTTCTGTGTGTCCATCTGGAACCTACCTGGACAGGGTCTTGGGTAAGCCTGGCTGGCCTGGGCCCGGGCAATGTCCAGTGAGCATGCGCTCTCACCCCAACGTGGGTGCATGGGTGGTTGCTCTTGCCCAAACCAAACATTTTCCTCTGGAAACAAAAGTTGCAGCTGTGTGCCAGAAAGACAGCACAGCCTGTCTTGGGAGGCTCCGGCCACGGGGCATGTGCCCTCAGCCAGCGTGCAGAGCCCCTCTGGCTCTGTCAGCCTGGGCCCCGGGCCAGCCTACCCCGCTGGGCCCGTCCCCACCTCCAGCCTCGTGCCTCTGGTGGACTCCTTGCAGGGTACTCTCGCACTCAGGCCCACAGGCATCTGGCCTTCTGCACCCACATTTGGTTCTTGGTGTTCCCATGTTCCCTCCCATAGCACCCAGCCTGGGAGCCCCAGAACTGCCCTGGCTTTCACCCTCACATAATGCCCTCACTGTCCTGGCCCCTGCTGCCTTCACGCTCGTACCTCTGCTCCTCATCGCCGCCCGAGGTTGGCTTTCCGGACACAGATCAGAGCAGACCTCCCCAGCTGAGCCCGTGGCCCACGTTGTCTGCGGTCAGTCCCACACAAGCTCTCAGCTCTAGCCACGTGTCCAGTGCTCCTTCCTCCCGGCACCCAGCATGTGATGGGCTCCTGGAGCAGGAGGGATAGGGGGCTTCCGTGCCCCCCATCACAGCTCCCCATGGCCCAGGTAGCCTTGGGAAATGTGCCCGCCTGCCAGACAGTCTGCAGCAGTGGCGGGCCTCATTTCAAAAACCTGGTGAGAGAGGTGTAGAAAGGAGGAGCTGAAATCTTCCACGCCTGCCCAGAGAGCACCCTGCCACGAGGTCCTGTCTGTGGAGAGGCTCAGGCTGGTCTCAGACTGCGCTGGTGGGAACCCTGGGCTAGGGTTGCCTGGCTCTCTGCCTGCCTGGCAGCCTCTTTTGAACATACGTGGTGCTCTGCCCTTGTCAACTACACGTGTGTGGCAGGCCTGGGACTCCAGCTTGGGACTCTGCCTTGACCTCAGACCATATACTTGGACCGTACAGTGAGGGTGGCATGGCAGACACCATGGTGGGCATTCTGGCCCCTGAGGGTGAGACCATGGGTGAAGCTATGGCGTTGGTCTCATGCTCTCCCCAGGCTGCTGTAACGTCCAGCCTGGCCCGAGAGGGCAGGGATAAAGTGCAAGGAGCCGGATAAAGGAGTGTGCATTCTGCCCACTCACTGCCTCCAGCTTCTCGGATCTCAGGTTCTTGTTTCACAGACTGGGGGGATGTCACAGTGTCAGGCCAAAGGACACTGTGCAGCCCTGTCGGGCTGTCTGTGGCGCTGCACATCGTTGCTGTGTGGTGTTGTCCACACAGTCACTCTCACCCGCAACTCATGGCCATGCCTGCCCCGTTCATGAGGCCGTGGGAGCGTGTAGATGTACCCCCAGGTCACAGGATCATGGCGGGGACGGGGATGTGCCTAGACCTTTTCAGTAGAATCTCCTGAGAAGTGAAGGCACAGACAGGAGCATTTAGCCAAGTCTCCTGCAAGAGTAGGACACGTGGGCACCCCTTAACATCGCAGCCTACGTGAGGGTCTCCACGTCCTCACTTTGTGGATGAGGAAGCTGGCGCTCAGGGACAAGGGATGCCGAGGACCTGGCTCTTTACAGCCTCGGCCAGCCCCTGAAGGGAGTACCACTGGGGGATGCCCCAGAACCACGTGGGTGCCACACACCTGGCCGCGCAGGCTGCAGGAGGCCTGTGCTGTCTGGGGTGCGTGGAGTGCAGCCCTGAAGCCATGCAGAGGTCGCAGGGGTGGAGAAGGCCACCTTCCGGCTAAGGTCACCTGGGGCCTTCGTCATTTTTGTCCCTTACGTGTGCCGGTGGCTCTGTGGGTGTGTGCTCTGGGGTTCTTTAGACCATCAGGCAGGTCCAGGGCAGTTCAAAGTCGTTCACCAGGTAGACATGTACACTGGGAAGGAGAAGTGAGCAGAGATCGGGAGTCGTGCAACTACGACTCGGAGCTGCAGTAAGCCAGGCTTTCTCTTCCGTGGAGAGTGTGAGAGTGAGAGGTGGGGGCGGCTGCCAGGCAGGAACGCCGGTCACTCAGGAGTGAGGTGTGTTACGCAAGGGCCCTGCAGCGCCCCAGCCCACGAGCCTGGGCAGCCTAATTAGAAGGCTCGGCTCCCAGGCTCCTGCGGGGAACAGACAGAAACTCACATCAGCCTTGGCTAATCTCCTTAAAAGTCTCTTGTTTGTATAGTGCAGACTCGACTTGGCGTCGGCCCAGATCACCTTGTTTTCTTCCTGTCAGGTTGAGATCCTGGAGATGCCATCCAAGACGTCAGTGTGCACCCTGAAGCCAGAGGCGGGTGCCAAGCTGGGCATGCCCATGTGCCTGGAGTTGTGGCAGGTACGGCCGTGCGCACGCGCGAGACACGCCCTGCAGGCCACGCCCGCCGTGGCCGTGAGTCAGGCCAGTCACAGCAGTCAGCCCCAGTGTCCCTGGCTCAGGGCTTCGCCCCGCCCCTGCCTGGAGGAGGGAGCCCTCCTGAAATCACGCCAGCAGAGGCCTGGCTCAGAGCCGCTTCTTGTCATCAGTGGGTTCCAGGCGGGCTCACCATGAGGGCGCCCTCCTGCTGGTGGCAGCGGGAAGGGGCTACCGCGGCAGTGGGCGTCAGCCACTCCTGGGAGATGTCTGCCCCTCTCTCTCTGGATCCTTCCAGCTCTGCAGAGAGCTGAGAGGGAGGGACATGCTGACTAACCCCTGTAAGCCTGCATGGCCTTGCTTTTCTTGGGGATTAAGTTTTGTTACTTCTTTAACTTTCAGACATGGGAATGGGCTTAACGTGTCGACGTTCTGCAGCCATGCAGGATTTCTGAGCCCAGCCTTCTCCTTCTTTCTAGGCCGCTCTCTCTGATCAGGGAGGGTCAGGGGGCACGTCCTGGGGCTGGCAGCAGGAGCTGGGGCCCCGGTGGGGGTCACTGGGGGTGGATCTCGGAGGGAGGCAGGCCTCAGTCCTGGCGGGATGGATTTCAGTCTGCAGGGGCGTCCTCCGGGACCGGCCCACCTCTACCCAGAGGCCACGGCCTTTGGCTGCAGCCCTGCCCTCTTCCTGGGGAAGCGGCCTCCCTCCTTGTTTGGGGCAGCAAAGCAAAGTGTTTGGCTTGTTCACTGAGGAACAATTATGGGGAAATTGAGCCACACGTGTCCTCTCCAGTACAGAGGCCCACGTAAGTAGGCCGTGAGCTGGTACCCGTCTTGAGAGTACTTGGTTACTGAGCAGTCTTCCCCCCACAAAGGGCTATTGCCCCAGTGCCGTCCATTCCTCAGGCTTTTTCTGAGCCGTCCAGTGCTTGCCTCCTCGAGCCTCTCTGCCTTTTGAATTCTTCCTAAAGTCAGCTAGGCGGGCTGGGCATCCTGCCTGGTGCTCCTTTGGGGCAGTCTAGAAATGGCTGCCTGGCAGACAAGACTCCGCTGGAGCGCACGCCCCAGAGACCCTGTCCCGAGGGGCTTGTCTCCCTGCCACCAGAAGGCACTCCGCTCACCCTCATCGCTGGCCGTCCTTCTCCTGTCGTTTCCTGACGGAGAATGGTTAGGGTTGGGAAGCGGGATTGCCGACACAGCGGTCTTGTGTTGTTGCTTTGCCCAGTACAGCCTCTCAGGTCACCCATGGGGTGGGGTTATATGAGGAAACGGGAGCTTCAGGGGGGCTGGGGCACCTGAGGGACACTTGCCTGAAGAGACACAGTTCCTGGCACCCACAGATTTGCTGTTGAGGTCGGGCTGTGGTGTCTGGAGGCTGGGCTACATGCTGCCTCGGTGTGTCACGCTGCACTCTGAGGGCTTCCGTAAGGCTGTGGGGGTGAGAGACACCCTGCGAAGGACGTAGGAGCCGCAGGCGCACATCGCAAAGTCTGCCGTCTTGGGGCAGGATGCCACGCTAGACTTTTCACTCACATCTCACTCCCTGGGAAACGCTGTTCACTGCACAATCATGTAAAAATTCCAACAGAAAAATGTGTAGAAACGGGATGTACCAACTTGTTAGGCAATTAACGGAGCTGACAGAAGGACAAATCACATTGGTTGACACAGATCCAGCCGAGGGTTCTGTTCAGAAACAGCTACGCTCATTTCAAGTGTTTCTTTTTCTCCCCCAGCCAAGAGCTACCAACTGTAACCTATGTGTCTGAGTATGCCAGAGTGACCAGCTTGTTTTTTTCTGAAATACTCTGGTGTCTTTTCATTCTGTTTCCCTAAGCAGCCAGCCTGAGTCATTCCGATAATGAGGATATAAAAAGTCAGGATCCAATGAAGCCTTGTACAGAGTCACCTGCAGCAGCTCTCAGGACAGGACTCCCAGGCCCTGGGTCTCAGAGCCCCTCCAGCCGGCCACCCCAAGTTGGGCTGCAGTGAGTCCAGGGCTCCTCTTGCACACCAGGGCTCCAGTGTTCAATGTGGCGCCTATAGAACCTCACCTGAGAGGGTGGCTGGTACCAAGACCATAGCCCCAAGGGGTCCCTTAGCCACAGGCGCTCTGTCCTGTCTGTGGTAACATCAGTCTGAGCCTGCAGGGCCACTGTGCTGGGAGAGAAGCCAAGGGTGGGCGGGCAGGCAAGCCTGGAGCCCTGACGGACCCAGAGTGGGCAGGTGGCAGGGGTGACACATGGCCTCTGCTCTCCTCGGCCACAGGACGCCCTTCCAGGCCAGGGACGCCCTGTGCGTCACCCCCTGCACTGCTGAGCAGTCAGTGACAGGAAGCACGTGGAGTCACCCAGCATTAGCCATGGCATTCCAGGACACAGAAGCCACGGACACCATGTGGACTGGGTGACAGAGACCAGCTGGAACAAACGTGTCAGCTATGGAGGGGTCTCAGCGCTATTTCAATGCTGAGAGGCTGGGCGACTCTGCCTGGTGTGGCCTGGGGCAGGCTGGGCTTGAGGCAGCTGCACTGACGGTGAGTGGAGGGACACTGGCCGCCATGAGGAGAGTGGAGTTAAGCGGCCCCCGTCGAGCTTCTGGTGGGCAGCCCCACCAAGCAGCCACAAGGCGTCTAGTCACAGGGGCGCCTCCCTTGTTTGGTGGTCCGGATGTTCTCACCTGGTCTGAACTTGCCTCAGAACTTGGTGCAGTTGGTCACTGGGGAGGACTGCTCGCCTGTGTGGTTTGGACTCAGGCCACCCATGTGCCAGGGCTGAGGGCTGGCCCAGGAAGAAGGGGCGAACGCAGAGCCCTGTGCCCGCGTCTTCAGAGACAAGTAATATCCTGTCAGGTGACTGAAAATGCCCAGATGGAGTTCTTTCTTTTTATCAGCCACGGAGGGGGCCTAATCCCACACTGAGATCCTTCTCATGACTGTAGAGCCCCTGCTGCTGGGGGTCCACAGAGGACAAGCTGCTGAGAGAAACAGCAAGGCCGCACACCTCCCCCGAGAAGTCTTCCTGCCTCCTCTGCAGTCCTCTGCCTTCTGCTCTCGTTCTGTGTGAATACACGTTACCGTCAGACAAGAATTCATCGCGCCAACTCTTTCTAGGGCCCGAGGCACCACCCTCTGGAGCAGCCCTGGCCCGGTCTCGGGGAGCCGCTGCTCCTCATCACCCCTCCCCCTTCAGATCGAAACTAGTCTGGCTGCCCATTACTAACCGGGCCCCCATGACACAAAGCACACCCTCTAGACTCAGTGTCCCCTTCTGATCCACAGGAAAGCTCTGCTTCCTTGGGCTGTTTGATATGTGACATACACTCACGTCAGACACATGACTTGGGGTCTTCAGGCTAAACTGGACCACGCTGCTCAGCCCCCCACGGTGGGGGAGGTGGGCCCCGTGCAGCATGGAGCTGCACAGACCCCCAGGTGGGCAGAGAGAAGAGCCGCCACACCCTCATTGACAAGAACCCACCAGATAGGAGCAGGGGGTTGAGGGCTGTCGTTTCCAGCCCTGGCCGCCTGCCCATCACAATCCCAGAAGGGATCCCAGGAGGGCAGCTCCTGCTGACATCGCCTGTCCCGAGGCCCCCCTTCTCACTGTGGGCAGCCAGAGGCAGGGGGCTGGGCCCAGGCAGCGTGGAGGGGTGTTCCAGGGACGACCAGGTTTCTCTGGAGCACGCCTCTCCGAATCATTCACCGGAAGTGAAGGATGTGCTCAGATATTCCTGAAACTTCATTGGCACCAAAGGCAGGCAGCTCCATGGAGAGGACAAACCCGGAGATGGCTGCCGCCTCGCTGCCGTGTGCTCTTTGGCAGGCAGCCTGGGTCTCCTGGAGGCGTTTCCTGCCGGCAGTACCCGAACACAGCCCCTGGGGCCTTCTCTCAACACCACACCCCTTGGCCTGGGCACTGAACAGAGGGTGCCCAGCGGCCGGCACCAAGTGCTCTGCTGAGGAGGTTGGGAGGGCTGCTCTGGTGCGTCGTGTGACCCAGTGGCGTGCCTCTCCTGGACTTATTTCAGAGGCTGAAATGAATGAGTCGTCTGCCCGGGGTGCGGAGCCCTCTGACCCAGGCCCTCATCCATCACAATAGCTCAGGGCCGGCTGGAGCGCAGCGCGCACCCGTAAGCGCCACATCGGCTCACCGGGGGCCGCCAGGGGGCAGGGAGCTGCCGCAGCGACATTGACAAAGCACAGAAATTTCATTTTTCACGGCGATAGGGCTCACGATTTTTCCTTGGCTGGCAGTTCTAGACGGATGAGTGGCTGAGCCAGGAGGGGCTGTGGGGCAAAGAGGCCGGAGGGTGCTGCAGGGTACCAGAGGGGAGCAGGCACGGAGCAGCACACCGATGGGGTGGTGCCAGGCTGGGCAGCAGGGGCCCTTCAGGCGGAGTGGTGGGCTGGAGCTCCACGCCCTCCGATGCGTGTTCCTCCCGGACACCCCCCAGCACCAGCCCCCATGGTGGCCCCGTGCTGATGGTGTCAGCACTCCGGAGGGTGCTGGGGGTGGGTGGCTACCGACTTGCTACCGTCAGACTGCAGACACAGCTGGCCGGGAGAGGTGCACGCCAGCGGTGAGCTCTTTCCCTCTCGAGCCTGGCAGGGCCCTTCCAGGGGGAGGGACTGTGTGCTGAGCAGATGCCCTGCTCTTCCCAGCAGGCCGACTCCAGCCCCCGCCCGCGCCTGCTGACTGGTTACGAGGATGGATCCGTGGCCCTGTGGGACGTCTCCGAGAGGAAGGTGTACAGCCGCATCGCCTGCCACACGGAGCCCGTGATGGGCCTTGACTTTGACTCCCAGAAGTCCAGGGGCGTCTCAGGCTCTGCGGAGAAGGCGCTGGCTGTCTGGAGCCTGGACGAGCAGCAGGCCCTGAAGGTCAGTGCGCCGGACCTGGTGCCATTTATCCTGCTTTGCACTAACAGTCTGATAGGCTGAAAAAATATTTAGGCATGAAGAGGAGTTGTTGCAGATCCCTGGCTAATTAATCACTGTGAGGCGGGGCGCAGCGGGCCGGTCCACAGGGCCAGTGCAGGAAGAGGGGGCGTGGGCGTGTGTGAACCGTTCACATGGTTTGGGTTTCTCCCAGACCTCGGGTTAACAGCAGTCACGTCTTGTCCATCTAGAGAAAAGGCATGTAGATTCCAGGAGCATGGCAACCTCAGAGGAATTTGCCAAATAAGGAACTAATTAATCAAAAGAAAAAAGAAAACCCAATGTGGCCAGCACCCATGGAGTCACGCCCTGTGTGGTGGTCTGCTGGCCGCGAAGGGGGCCACTGGGAGCCAGGTATGGAGCCTGAGGCAGAGTGGAACGCTGCTGAAAGCCTCCCCCACGTCTGAGGGACTTGCCTGTCTCGTGCTCACGCAGGGCACCTGGGCCTCGTCTGGGCCGCTGGCCCCAGTGCTGAGCACGTGGTGGTTCCTTGCGTGCCTGGCTCCTGTTAGGGACGTGATGGGTGGTAGCCTCCTGTCTGGGCCTGGCTCTTGTGAGGTCCTGGTTTGGGCTCCAGCCCATGGAGGATGAGGTGTTGGGGATGTCCTCTGACTCTCAGCCCCCAGAGGATGGCCCTAGCACATACTGGCTTCTAGAGGCGAGTGAGGAGCCCCGAGCCAGGGAGCCTCAGACTTGACCAGCTTCTTCGAAAAGCTATGCTGTGAAGGGACAGGCTAGGGCTGTGGATCCCCTAGCATGACTACTAGCAGAGCCAGCGTGAGCCCAGCTCCCTGGCCTCTCGTGGGCTTTCCTTGGCTCCCTTGTTGGAGAGAGGCCTGTGCACTGAGCCCCAACACTCCACCTGGTGTCTGGGTCCCTGGGCGCTGGCCTCCCCTGCAGTTGAACTTTAGGTTTCCCACCACACCTAAGAGGCTGCATCACTCTGGGCTCCTGAGAGCAGGAAGTCCTTCCCAACAGCCCCGGCCAGCCTGCCGCACCCACAGAAAAGGCCAGGGAGCTGGGCTCACGCTGGTTTTACTGGCAGTCATGCACCCACACCTGCTCGGCCTGGGCTCCTATGCCAGGGGAGGGGCTAGACTTGGACCAGTCAGGCTTCTCCTGACAAGCAACACTCAGAATTCCTGAAGCACCGGGCTGAGTCGGGGAGAGGTGGGCCTGGATAGAAATCTGGACAGGTTGGAAAGGGGCGGGGATGCTGGCCGAGCAGCCGGCAGGACCCTACAGGTGCCACTGTGCTCTGGGTGCAGCTATGGGACATCGTGGCTAGATCCTTCAGGGGAGGGACGCAGCAAGGACAGCCAGACCGAGGGCGTGGCCCGAGGAGCAGAGGGGTCACAGCGCAGCTCCAAGGACTGTGGTGCCTGGAGGCCAGCGGCCCCTGGAAGGCCAGGCTCACCAGTGCCGGGAGTGCTTGGCAGAGGTGGGGCAGAGGGAGGCCAGGATGTGTCCTTTTACGTGGCAGTAAGCAGGTCACTGGGCATCCCTGGAGAATGGAGGTTAAGGCCAGAGTGAGGGCTGTGGCAGGAAAGAACTGGGCCCAGCAACGGCTCTGGGGTGAGACTAGCCTGATGTCCCTGGAGTGACACCCTCTTTGGACAGGGACCTGAAGGGAGTGCAGGGGTGAGGCCTGCAGGGCTTCAGGGGGGAGGGATGCGTGTGAGGACCCCAGCAGGCGGCCACAGCCAAGGGAAGGAGGGAAAGGTAAGATCCACATGGGCTCACAGACGAGACAGTCAGACATCATGCTGTGTGCTCCCTTGGGACCACCCCTCCTATTCCAGGTCAGCCCCGTACCGGGCACACGGGAGAGTCTCGGTAGTGTGACCTGCCTAGGGCAGGGGGGCTGGGCAGGTGCGTCCCAGTGGGCTAAGCCCTGTGTTGTGAGAGGCAGACCTCCGCAGGGAGGCCACTAGGCCTTGATGGCCACTGAGCTGGGCGGTGGCCTGTGGGAAAGCCATCTAGGTGATGGTGATGGTTAGAGACTGGAGGCTGGGCTCCAGGAGCTCAGTCTTCAGGCAGCCCCCATGTCACTGCCGTCTTGCTTGGTGGCTGGCCCGGGGGCAGGGCTGGCAGCCCGTGCTGAGCCGGGTGGGAGGCTGTCAGCTCTGGCACCTTGGACCCTTCCCTCCTGCTTCTTGAGCCTGGCAGAGGCCAGGCAGCACCCACATGTCTCTCTGGGGGTCCGGTCCTGCTGTGACTTGAACTTGTTTAGCCTGATCGACATACCTCTCCTCAGCGCCCTCCCGGAGCGGCCCCACCCCTCCCCAGGTTTCCCTGCACCCAGGGTTCCTCCTGCAGGCCCCTCCCAGGGGTCTGCCTATCTCCCCAGGCTTGTTCAGGAAACAGCTGCTGGAAGTTAAGACTTAAATTTATGGGGTGTGTTCTAGTCCAAGCTGGTTTTACTGTATTGATCAATTTAAAAGTTCAAGCAGGAGGATATTAATGAATTTAAAAGTTAAAGCAGGAGGGGGAAACTAGAAATTGCAGGATGCAAGTGGTTGGCATGATGTGTGCTGAGGGGCTCAGTAGGGGGCCTCTGCGCACAGCCCGTCCACATCAAAGGAGGGGAAAGCTTTCAAGATGGGAGCGGGCTCCTTCCCATCAGCAGTCACCAAGGCGGCCCTGCAAGGAGGCAGCTGTCCTAGGAGAGGCCGGGAAGGAAGAGCCCAGCTGGAGAGGGCTGAGGCTAACCTGCATGTCCTCCCAGCGGCACCTTCAAAGTCGGCCTCCAAGGCCCAGGAGGGTCTCAGGCTCTGTAAAGCTCAGGCCTTGGGGAGGAAGTGACTGTGGCTGTACTTTGCCAAGACAATCATCTAAAGTATCCTTAGTACCTGGGAACAGGTGAGGTGGCTTTATACCCTTATTGTTCACAGAGGGTCCTCCAGTGGGACAACCACGCACCCTCACCGTTCAGGGTGTCTGTCCTCCAGTGAGGTGACTGTGTACTCTCATAGTTCAGGGTATCTGACCTCTGGTGAGGTGACCGCACACCCTCACCGTTCAGGGTGTCTGTCCTCCAGTGAGGTGACTGCACACCCTCACTGTTCACAGGATCCTATAGTGAAGTGACCACATTCCCTCACTGTTCAGAGTGTACTCCATTGAGCCAGCCACACGCCTTCACTGTTCTCAGAGTGCCCTTCAGGTGGCTGACTGGACACCCTCACTGTTTTTATAGTGTCCTTCCGTGCAGTGGCCGCACGCCCTCAGCTGTGAGCCGCCTCCCTGGGCCCACAGACACCACCTGTCTCCCTCCCCTTCGTGCTCTGGCGCAGCCGCCGCCTTGAGCTTGTGGGCCACGTGGACACAATGCGCCTTACCTCGTGTCCTTTTCCTGGAGTCTCTAATGAGCCCAAATCAATCTCTCCCTGGCGAGCTCTGGGAGCAGAGATGCAGATGAGGTTTCCCTGCACCAGAGCGTGGGTAATCGGAACCAGATGGCGCCTTCGCTGCGCTGCGCATTCCTAGTACTTGAGGTCATGCCTGGTGAAAGCCACTTGGTGGCCAGAGATCTCTCCTGGAGGGCCCTGCATCCAGGGTAGAGCTGGTGGGGAAGCGCAGAGGTGATGTGGCGTGCTGGTCCACCTTGTCAGGGCCCCGCCAGCCTCGGGGCTGTTGACGGTGCTGGAGGCCTCCTGCGCCATAGAGCTTTGCAAGCCCATGAGAGCATCAGCTATTGTCAGTCCCAGGTGGTTAGCAGACTCCTTCCCCTGCACACTTGGGGCAGTGCCCATAAGACTGAAAGAACACCCTGATTTATAGGCCGTGATATTTTTAGGCCTTTAAACAATAACGAGGATCGCTCACCCCAGTCAGCCTTGGGCCGGGAGGCGGGCTGACCGCACGTGCTGCAGCGCTCACTCCTTCCGTGACCTGCACGAACGGCCCCGTGGCTTGGGCTGGCTTCCCATCTGCACAGCAGGAGCGAGAGCCACACGCCCTGCTCCCCGACTGCGCCAAGGTGCTGCTGCATTTAGAGGGGCATCGGCCGAGCAGCTGGGGGGAGCAGGACTGCAGCCCGGGAAGGCCCCAGCCCACTTCCTGAGGCCAGAGCCTTGCACTTGCCTAGTTTCCAAATAAGAGAAGGGGGGCTTGCTGGGTCGGCTCAGCCCCACACACGCCACAGGCGCAGGGAAGAGCTGGCATGCAAGGGGAGCCTCTCGTGTCTGCTTGGGGGGGGTGGAGCCTGGCACTGTCTCCGCCAGCTGCTTCCCACCTCGCAGTGACACCGTCAGAAGTCCCGCCTTCTCGGAAATGCAAGCCCCCAGAACAAGCATTTGTCTTTATCTGAGGTTCCCCCTCAACTGGGGGGGGGGGGCACTGCTTCCTTGTTCCCTGCCACGGGGGAGCTCTGTGCAGTGCTGGCCTGTAGCCTGCCTCTAGGAATGGGGTAGGAGGCTGCCGTGTGCAGACCAGCGCGCCTGTCCCCAGGCATTGACAGCTCTGCCTGCCGAGGCCGCGGGCACGTGTGTCGTTCATAGGCTCTCTGGTAACCTGCTAGTGTAGTCGAACCCTCGTGGAGCCAGTGGTTTCTTTCCAGAGGGAGATGCTGTGCTAGTCCCGCATTTGTCCATGCAGAAGCTGGGCCCTGCCCCGTGAGAATCCAGGGCCACCAGCCTCCTCCTCAGACAGCCCTACATGGCACGCCCTGGGTGCCACCTCCTCACCTATGTGCCTGTCTTCGAAGTCGGTAAAGACCACAGTGAAGGGCTGACACCCAAATTCCTTTCCTCAGCCGCAGCTTTCGGGTGTGTCAGTAGGGCCCAAGCCTAAGTCTGCTCTTTTCTCACTGGGCATTGCCCCACTGTTACTAACATCACATAAACGTGGAAAGCCACGAAGGTCACCTGAAGCAGGGCCCTGAGTGGATTCTAGTGACACTCACTGCCTGTACCTAACGGGTCCCTACTCCACAACTGCCATGGGGTGAGGGTGTAAAATTCATAAGGGAAAAGGGCTCCAAGTGATCGCCGCCTCCAGTTCCCCTCCCTGGAGGCCACAGCATCTTTGACCTATCCAAGTGTGCGTGTGCGGGTGTGGGTCCCTGCAGACCCAGCAGACGCACATCCATGCACACACATGCTCACAGCCCTGCTCCGGATTCTTCTAATATCTTGTAACCATCACAGTAATTCTCTAAATAAATAAATAAAAACTAACTGCTATCGAGTTGATTCCAACACATAGTGATTGCCACTGGGTTTCCAAGGTGGTAAATCTTTACAGAAGTAGATTGCCCAGTCTTCTTCTGTGGAGTGGCTGGTGGGTTTGAACCGCCAGCCTTCCAGTTAGCAGTCAAATGCCTTAGGTACTATGCTACCAGAGCTCCTTCACAGCACCTCTAGGCTGGGCTATTAGTGAAGGTCTCTGTGAGCCTCCAGAGCTAAGTTCACGGCCTTCCACAGTGGCCTCCACAGCTGGTCTGCCTCTGCGGTCCCAGTGCTGCCACGGGTTGTGGGGTGGTGTCTACAAGTGAAATCCCAGTGGGGAAAGCAGGGTCCAGGGCACGGTGCCTACTGCTCTGGTCAGGCTGCTGATGCTCTCACGGCCAGTACCAGCCCACAGAGCTTGGCAAGTCTGACAGGGAAACATAGAGTTTCAGCGCATGTGTGATTTGTGGAACTGAGTGAGGCTGGGCGTCTGGTCAGGTTGAGGGGAGGTGTGTGGCCTCCCGGTGCTCTCCCAGCCGGGCATCCCCCACTGAGCTGTGCTGAGGTGCCAGCTGCTGCGTTCTTCCTGACTTCAAGGTGCTCTTTGCAGAGTACTCATTCAGCTGTCTGTGCAGTGAATTACACACGTTTTCCCCAGTTGCCTTTGGACTCGGCTTAAACTGGATTTGCCGTGCAAAAGAAAAGTTTGAGTAGTTGGATTTCAGTCTTGTTTGCTGTAGCCTCTAGATTTTATGTCCAGACACTTAACAAATGAATTTTGGATCCATGCTACATACAAGCACTGTTGTAGGCACAGGGATCCCGCAGGAAACCAAACGTTCCTGCCCCACAGAACATTCTAGAAGAGAAGAGTGCACAGAGAAGGGGGGCAGCAATGTAAAGAAACCGGGGCAAGTGACAGGGACCACGGGCTGCCCTTCACGGCAGGGGGCGGGGGCTCTGTATCTGAACAGAGACAGAGCAGTGAGGAAGTTGTTCCTTCCATGACTGGGGTCAGGGATGTCTCAGAGGGGAGGAGTGAGGAGCTTGTCCTTTCTGTAAGTCATGGCAGAGTGAGCATCTCTGAGGTGGGAGTGAGAAGTTGTCTCTGATGACTGGGGCGGGGACATGCCCAGGAGGAGCGGCAGGGCTGAGGGCGGAGGTGCCTAGGAGCAGAAGGGGGCAGCTGCAGAGAGGAGCAGTGGGCGGAGCTGAGTGCCCGCCAGCCGCCAGGAAGCCCACGGGGCTTTGGAGTGGAGAAGCCACACCATCTGATTCAAGGTTGTGAGAAGCATCGCTCTGCTCGACAGCGGGTCAGGGAGTGACCAGTGAGAAGGCCACAGGGTGGCAGCAGGGCACGATGCTGGCTGCATCCTCAGGAGGGTGGACCTCCCGGGGCACGTGGGGTCCAGGTCAGGTGCGTAGGCTGAGGGGTCCCCATCGTGAGCGTGATTGGGGCCCCGGAAGGTGTAGGTACAGCGTCATGCTATGGCGGATCTTGTTAACTTCTTCCATAATTCTGTCCATTTTCGCTTGTGCATTTTGAAAGTGAATTAGGAACATACAAGTTTAAAATGGCAACCTTCCTGGCGAATCGAAACTTTTCTTTAGTCACCCTCGTTATCTCTGGAAAATGTTTTTGCCTAAATGGCTATTTTGCCAACTACTAATATGGCTCACGGAAGGAAGGTTGGGCAGTCTACTTCCGTAGTGATACTGCCTTGGAAACCCAAGGAGGGGTCGCTGTGAGTCGGGTCCGACTCAATGGCACGTAACAACAACAATATGGCTCAGGCCGGGTTTCTTTTGGTTACTTGTTGTTAGTGCCGTCAAGTGGGCTCCGACTCACAGCGACCCCGTGCCCGACAGAATGAAACACGGCTCAGTCCTGCTCCATCCTCACAACCCCTGCTGTACCCGAGCCCATCGTTGCAGCCACTGTCAGTCCATCTTATTGAGGGCCTTCCCCTCTTTCTCTGACCCTCTGCTTTTCCAAGGATGATATCCCTCTCCAGGGACTGGTCCCTCCGACAGCATGACCATAGGAGGTGAGACGAAGGCTGGCCATTCTCCCTTCCAAAGAGCGTTCTGGCTGCATTCTTCCAGGACAGATTTGGTCCTTCCGGCAGTCTGTGGTGTTTTCAGTATTTGCCTGCCGGTCTGCCATGCTGCAGGGCCTTGCAGGTTGTGGTGATGCTGGAGGCTATGCCACCAGTATTTCAAATACCAGCAGGTCACCCACGGTGGGCAGGTCTCAGCGGAGCTTCCAGACCAAGACACTGGGAAGAAGGATGGAGCCTTCCGAAAAAATCGGCCATTGAGAACCTTAAACCTTGGTTACTTACTGCCTTTAGAATTTTTATTAATCCTTTTTACCTTCAATCTCTCTGTGCCCTCAAGTTGTACGTGTCTGGCACCACTAGTTACATCTTAGGCTTATTTTGTCCTGTGGCAGTGGGCAGACTTCCTGCTCACCATCCATTCTTGTATGTCAAGCTTTGCTCCCAGAAGTCAAGATGTCCATCCTTTATAAATACCTATAGTGGGGCCTCTTGATGGCTAGTGGTGGTGGCCTGTGAGTGTGAGAATCTGG